AGATTTGGACTCTAGGCCAAGCTCTGCCATTAACTAGTGTAAGCAGAATGACCTTAAATACATCTTCTTATCTCTTTGGTGTCCAGTTTCACCATGTGTAAATTAAGGAGTTAGTCCAAAATATGCAATTGAGCTTTATAGTCCTTTTCTGACCAAAACATTTATGATTCCATAAAATAAATGCATTAAATACTAGTTATTCCCTTTTTCTAAATGAGCAACATACCTCCAAGGGGTATCTGAAACACTGTTTTACATGAGACAATATATTAGAACTTTAATTTACATTTATTTTATCTAAAAATAAATAAAACTTAACTAATACTACTCTACAGATTGAAAGTGGTATTCTCACAGAAAGCCAAATGATCAAGTGTCATGTATCCTATGAGGTATGAGAATGTAGAGTTTCTCTACACAGAAGTGTTGAGCGTGGCACCCACATTTCCCCATTCACTTGAAGCATCTTGCAATACACCGTAGTCTGTCTTGCCCTGTTTAGACTTCTGAAGCAACCATCATCCCAAGGTTAGAAAGAAATGATATCTTGGAAGTGTGAATATTATTTTGGCCATGCTCGCTGACTCTATTTGAATTCCAGAACTTTGTCCAGATATTTTCTAATTCTCCATGAAAAGCGATCTCACTTCCTCATTTGACCTCAATATTTTTAGCATAAACTTAATTCTTGTAGGCTTTAGACTCTACCACTCGTTAGCTACCTTAGCATCCTATACATATGTTTATTTCTATAGTCACTCACCACTGTAGAGTAATAATTCAAGTTATAAAGGGGAAAAGGAGAATTGATTTCTTATACGGCATCTTGTTTCCTATGTATTACTACGAGAGTATGTTTTCTTTAAATTAGTATTATAATTTAAATTACAATTTAAGTAAAATAAAAATACCAATATTACTTAGCCAACTTATGTATTCTTTTTGTTATTTGACATTTTAGTCCCATTTCCCTTTCCTTAATTTAATAATACAGAAGATTTTTCATAACTTTTTTTCACAAATAAAGCAATAAATTGGGCCATTTGGAAATCTAGAATTAGGGTGCCTGGGTGGCTCAGATGGTTAAGTGTCTGCCTTCGGCTCAGGTCATGATCCCAGGGTCTTGGGATCGAGTCCCGCATCGGGCTCCCTGCTCCTTGGGAGTCTGCTTCTCCCTCTGCTTCTCTCTCTCTCTCTCTCCTTCTGTCTCTCATGAATAAATAAATAAAGTCTTTAAAGACAAAAAAGGAAATCTAGAATTAGCATTTTAAAAGGTACCATATTCCACCATCTACTCTACACCAACAAATTACCTTTAAAAAGTGATCTTTACTTGGGGCGCCTGGGTGGCTCAGTTGGTTAAGCGACTGCCTTCGGCTCAGGTCATGATCTTGGAGTCCCGGGACTGAGTCCCGCATCGGGCTCCCTGCTCAGCGGGGAGTCTGCTTCTCCCTCTAACCCTCTTCCCTCTCGTGCTCCTATCTCTCATTCTCTCTCTCTCAAATAAATAAATAAAATCTTTAAAAAAAAAAAAGTGATCTTTACTCTAGTTCCATACCTCAGGGCAGTTTTATAAGCAAGTTCAACTTAAAATAAGTTCCTTTTAGGACAGCAGAATTTTAGAAGGGATCCAACATGGAACCACTACAATATCACCCAAAATTAAGTGGCTTGAGATAAAAATATTTGTTATAAAAATATTCTCTTCCATGGTCTAGTAATTTAAAGATTGTCAGGTTACTCCTAGAAGCAAATTCAACTCTGAATGTCAATGAAAAATTTGAAGTCCTATGCAATATCCTAAATTCCTGGCTTCATTTCAAAAGATTAATTCTATCTTTACTGAAGTGATATCACCATCATTACTATGACATATAGTCTCCATATCCACCAATGTCAAACAGCTTATAACAATGATTAAATAGTTGAGGAGAAAACAGCACTTTTTCTCAACAAGTTGAATAAAGCTCTATCTATAGACTAGCTAGATTGTGAGCTCCATGTGGACAGGGTTTTTGTCCATCTAAGATGTTCAGTGCTGTATTCCCAGCCCCAAGAAAATGTATGGCGAACAATAGACTTTTAATAAATGGAGGAATCTTCTGAACACAGCTTGATCCATAGCTTCAGGTGCTATCAAGGCCAGACTGTATTCTGGGCCTAGAAGAGCTGAACGTCCTAAACTTTAGAGTGACAAGGGCCTATAAAATGCAAAGATGCCTCACCCAACAAAAGAAAATTATCTTTAAAGCTCCCTAGGGAGGACTGAGGGAAAAAAAGGAAACATGTCAGGACCTCCTTCACTCACACCCTTAAAACGAACTTTATATACAGTAAATGAAGGTAAACCTTGGAGGCTTCAAAAGAATGTTTTTCTCCCTTTCCTCCCTACTAGCAGCTAACTTTTATTGAGAACTTACTAAATTACAGATACTTCACATTGATTATTTGAATCACTCCTTACAAAACCCAAGAGATATGTACCATTCCCTTCCCATTTTTCAGCTGAAGAAACTAAGGCTTATCACGTCCCCAAGATCATAGAGCACATAAATAGCAGTGCTGAGACCTACTAGACTGTTTTTAAATACTATGCCATATTGCCTCTTACATAATTATTTGCAAAGTCATCTGATTAATTTTCTAAAACAGAGTCCTAAAGCTATTTCTTCCTTTCTCTTCCAAGTAGAAAAACTCCAGTCCAGGATCCGATTATGATAAGACTGATTAATAATGTAATGTAAAAAAAAAAAAAAGAAAGAAAAGAAAAAGTGCTTTTTTTCTGAACTAGTTTTAGAAGACCTATATTCTAGTCCTGACTTCAATACTGTGTGACCTTAGACATGTTATTCCAACTCCTTGTGCCTCAATTTCTCATTTTTAAAATTAAAATAATAAAATCTACTTTACTTGATTGTTTTGAAAACTAAAAAAGGGGGGACATAAAAGCAATTGGAAAAGCTGAAAATACTATATAAATATAAAAGTAGGTCAGTAATTCAGCATCCTTTTTAGCCTCTCCAGTTTCTTTTTCATATAATGAACTGCTAGCATGATCTTCTTTTGCCATTAAGCTATGTAACTATGTAACTATTCTGTACTGGCCATTATCCACATAAAATGCAATCTTTGACTCTTCAAAAATTTCCATCAGACTGATTATAAACCTTCTTTTCTAGCCACACTTGTATTTTCTCTGTTCCTTTAAGCCACACTCTGATTGCCCATCTAGCACAGTAATGTTATCCCCTTCTAAATCCATCCTGTTAATCCTCATTTCGTCCCAAACCCTTTAAGTGTTCCCTACAAGTGGCAACTCATATACCACACCAAACTGACTTCAGCCTGCTTTTCTAGGACAACTTCCAAACCCCTTCCCCCTACAAAAAGGGTTTTTTCCCTGTATCCTAACCTTTACTAAATCTCCGTCCCTCAATTCCTATGTATAGTTCCTTCCTTTTATCCAAGGAACAATTGTTCTCTGATATGCTTGTCATTCTTTATTCTGAGTACGCACAGAATCCTAATTTATGTATCTATTCAAGTTTGGGAAGATAGACAAATCTTTTACTCTCATTTTTATAAAACAACTCTACTTTGATCCATCAAGAAATGTCTCTACTTTTAAGCAGGCAGGCTAATTGATATGCTTTCTTTTTTCCCTCACTGCCCCTGCTCTTTATTTAGGCTCCATTCGTGGTAGTGATGCCTGCATTCTTCCCATCCTCCTGCTCCCTCCTGGCCCAAATCTAGCGTCCTGAGGAGAACTGAGCATGCTCAGTAGCCACAGCCAATTCCGGATGCAAACTGGCATCTTTTGCAGATTTTGAGCCCAGCAGGAGAGGTAAGGCCCTAAAAATACAGTGGCCCAGAATTTGCCCACTCCCCCTGAGGTATCATTTGATGTAAAGATGTGTTCAAAGCCTAGAAATGGACTTGGAAATGGACAGCCTGCTGCCAGTCCCTAGTCTGCAAGGTGGGTCACCAACCTGAGTAACAGAGAGCTGAGAAGAGCCCCTCTTCCTCGTTTGGCACAGGGAGGAGATTTCTGCTGCTCTGAGCTGTGATAGTGCTGATAGATGGCTGGAAGCTTACATTTGGCATTTCTGTTGCGTCAAGAAAATACTGTTGTTGTTGTTGTTTTTCTTTTTTTCCTTGAACACAGCAACATCAGCTGCTCCAGACTGAGAAAGATGTTGCCTGAAGAGCTACAAAGTCTATGAGCCAGCCAGAGAAATTGTGGAGAGGATAGGCAAACCAACAACTTACCCAAGAATTAGATATAGGGAGGTGTCTTAAGACCCAGAAATAAACAGGCTTTTTCTAAATGACAATTCAGGAACCTTTCAGATATTCAATGCTGAATTGTCTGCTTGTCCCCCCCAAACACACACCTTCTTTGTATGTGAACCATGACACATTTCCATTTAAGAGACTGACAGACTACACACACACACACACACACACACACACACACACACACATACATACACACAAATCCTCCTGTTCTCCTTTCCCCTGGTTTCTGCAGACTATATCTCTGGAGCTGCAACAGCAGCAGATTCCCTTACCTCACTGCCAGGGGGGTGAGGCATAGGGAAGAAATTTATCATGAATGGAATATGATAAAAAAAGGGGGAGCTTCTTTGCAGGGTCTTCAGCCACCACTGCACAGCCTGAGAAACAGAGATAGGCAGAAACAGGCTGGAAGAGAGACACACAGCTGCCCCTGCTGCTAAAACCTAGCCATCTCTTCCAACAGCAACAGACATGAGACATTTCATCACCGTAGTGCATCCATATTGAGAAGAGGGGGGAAAATATCATGTGCTTTGCGTTATGCATTTCAGTCACCCGAGATGGGAGGAGACCCCTGTCCATATGTCGTGGGAGCTATCCACCACCCCAAAAGTACGATCACTGCATCTAGCCAGCCGACCGCTTGCCTGACAGGTTTTGCAGCAAACGCGGTTAATCTGTGACAGCAGGTTGTCTCTTACCGTAGGCAGCAGCGGCTCCATTTGAGCTCCCTGGTCTTTAATCTCCATGTTTTGTAACGCCTCTGGAATAAGCACCTTTCTCTGCAGTGTCTTCAATGTCCTACACTCAGCCCGGCACTCGCTCTGCTTAGTATTCGGATCAGGTAGCTCTGAAGCAGGAGGCAATTGCACACTCCAACTCACCAGAGTCACATGGCTCCTACTCACTCGGGCTGCTGGCCAGGTTTTGCACTGAATGCCTTGGATCCCTGGGCCGGTAAGAGCGATCTCCCAAGCCCTGTGTCACTGCCCACACCTGGCTACTGGTATAAAATACAGCCTGCAATGCTGCAAGTCTAGTGGACATTAAGAATCTCACCTAAGATGCTAACTTCTTATACAGACTCGTCCAAGGGGGACTCCAACCAGCTCAGCCAGATTTTAACACTTTGAGGTAGTACACTTCATTCCCAGAACCCCACAGAGGAGGAGGCATAGTTCAAGCAAGAGAATGTTAATAAGGTGTACTAGATGTCCTGCTCCGAGTACGTGGGGTCTTCAAAAACAGAAAAGATGACATCAAAATTGATATGCCTTAGTGAGACTGAACTATGCCTTAACAAAATCATTTAAGTCATTGTTGACTCAGTAAGAATTGGGCAGACAGATACTTTCAATATTTTAATTATGAGAAACTTGGGTAAGTCACACACTATCACAAATAAAATATATTTTTCTATGATTTCCCAATAAAAATAAAAAGGAAAGAAAGTATTTTGATAGTAGCAATTATCAAGATATTCAAGCATTTTGAAAAAAAAAATGAATCTGACAAGAGTAGCCTAAGCATGTACCCTTTTGCCTTAAAAGTCTCAACAAAAGAGGAGTACAGGATCTCTAATCCATGGGAGAAAATGAGTCAGAGGAGCTCTTTTGTAGGGAAAAGAAGGTGATAATGGCTGTTGAGTGGCCACATATTTCCTAGAATTAATTGTAGATCCAGAGTATTTTAAGTAATGAAGCCCATGTATCACTGAATCCCAGACTGAGTAGAGGTTACAAATGAAGAGAGGTTAAACAAGTATGACTAAAAATTATTCACATAGCTTATCTTAAATAAGATTTTCACCAGATTTAAAAAACATTCATCAGCAGGAGTGAATATTAAATTATTTTCAGCAACACACCAAAATTTTCCACAACATTCCTCATAGGTGGAATTATTAATAAATTTCATGTTTACCTTCCCAATACAATTCTTTATAATAAACTATTATTTTGATGATAAGAAAACATTTTTTATAAACTATAATAATTAATATATTTGAGTAGCAACTCTGTGCACAGCACATAGAGATAATACTGAGGACTTAAATAACAAGATGCTGACTGGGAATTTGCTAATTTGGGGTCCAACTTGACTTTCTACCATGGACTGATAAATAAAAGCTCTCTTTCCACTCACATGACCATAGTAGATTATCACAAACAACTTAATAGAAGAAAAGTGATAACCTCTCTAGAAAGATTATTTCTATCTCATTAGGAAACCCTAAGCCATCCAGTTTACATTTGTTCAAAAAGAATTCAAATATACCTATGAAAAAGTCTGACTTTTTTATTCCAAGAGGCAAAATAAAAATAAGATAGTATTTTAAATTACATTTAATCAATATTTTCCTACAGTGTATATTATTAAACCATGTAGGTACTTTGCTGGAACAACTATTTCCTGAGTGTTCTCTATATGCTAGAGCTACTATTTCCGTCAACATAACAGGACTTAGCCAGAGTTTCAACAGCAGACATTCTACTTCTAGAGATCCAGCAAGCCCATATCTCTACAGTTCTATGATCCAAGACACTGAATGCTAGCTTAGCAAAAAGAAAAGTGGGGAAAGAAAGTGATCCTCATTTAACCCACTACTTCTATCTTACACTCTAAAGACTTTAGAATTAAAGACTTTAGAATTAAGGCCCATATCCTAAGAAAATATTTCCACATAATAAACAAGTCCCAATGAAGAAGATAACAATAGAACAGCTAACTTCTGGGAAGAAAAGCATCACTAGGGAGTGGAATTTTTACTAACAAAACCATAGAGTTTTACAGATAGGCCCTTGGAAATCAACTTCTCCATTCATTTTCAAACTCAGAAAGTGAAAAGAACAGAGGTTAGGGAAGAGAAAATCCAGCTTGTGTGAGCAGCTTTTTTTTTTTTCCCCCAACTACATACTGTCCACCTTGGAGATTCTGGTATGTCCTTGGTGGAGGCTAAGAAAGGAAGTAGCTGGGATATACTTTTTGAAAAATACCCCAGGTAACTTTTACATTTCTCCAAGTCCAGAGCTCTTTCCACTACAGTTAAGCTTCCTTGGATTCTAGATTAAAAATGAAACCCAGTGAGATTTCATTAGCACAACTTGACAGCCATAATTTCAAACATAACATTAAGTATTACAAAGACTGAATATGTCCAAGGAACTGAATGTTCCAGACATTTTACTGGAATGAGCTAACAGTACAATTTTCATTCAATCAGTCCTACTATGTGCAAGGCACTGTGCTACTGATGCTATTTCCTGTCATACTGAGCAATACTAATGTGGAATTTTCCTCTCTGAAGAATGAAATAAAAGTAGCAATAGGACACAAGCCAACCATGCAAAGGGAATTACAGAAATCACTAAACAGAAGAGCCACCTTCCTTTCCAGCTGCCCATGTAGTGGCCAAGAGAAAAGGAACACAGCCACCATGGTGTGCTTCCTTCCTTGATCCGTCTGGCATCCTGGGACTCTTGCTGACCTCAAATTTTACTAATCCCCCCAAGTATGCAAGTCAGCATGGAGCCAATGTCCTTTCAGTTCCTACCTCCTTTTGCTATTTTAAGCCCTGGGGGTTAAGATATGCACATTAATATAGTGTTTATCTTAGAGAAGAGGCTATCTAATATTTTATTTGATACATCTAATTGTATTTGAAGAAGACACTGAATTCTAAAGGTTACTGCCAACGCTAGTACTTCAAGAAAACATTTTTTCATCCTGGTAGTATTGGGTTCTGGCTTAGATCTGAAAGTCCTTTGCTTTGACTCTTTTTAGTATAAAAGACCTGAACTTTAGGTAGGCAACAAGATCAGAAATATATTCTGAACATTAATATTATGTTGTTGATAATAGTATTAACTCAAGATTAATATTTTTAAATGACTATTTTTCACATATTTCAATGTGACAGAGCACTGTTGACATCATTTACGTAAGTGTTATCTCCTTTGTACTTCTATCCTTTGGGATCTGTAAATGTTCTGAACAACTTAAAGTGTCTTATGTAGATTTAATAGATTTATCAATCTAAAAGTGCTTAGCTGAATTTGACAAATTCAAGAAATACCCAAACTGTTCTTTCTTGATAACTTAAAAAATGATGACATCTGACCATTTAGGAAAGATAAGAATGCTCACTCCCCAATGTGGCATACCATAAAGAACCTCATTGTATAACACTAGAGTTTAAAGGTGGCAAATCTTACTCCTTTTTACAGATGTTCTTGGCCACCAATCTGATAAGCAATCAACTATCAAAAAAGGAATATATGAAATAAGTAATTAGGAAGCCCATTCCAATGTTGGGCAAATGTCCAGATTTAAGAGATCCCTGAAGTCCCACTTCTCTTAGTTCATGACTGATTTTTCTAACCCTGAAGATTGAAACAAAGACTTGATTTTCACTCTGCTCCAATTTACCCATACAGGAATACCCAAAAAAGACCTACTCTGTAGATTGAGTACTAGAAGACAGCATCTTAAACCAATTCAACTCAATTCAATAAATTTGCGGGGGAGAGAGTAGTGAAATGAGTGAAAGGGACCAATTGTAAAATAAATAAGCCATGGGGATGTAATGTACAGCATGGTAACTATAGTCAGTAATACAGTATTGCAAATTTTAAAGAAGTGAGTCTTAAAACTTCCCACAAGAAAAAAAAATTATTTCTATAGTGTCAATTGGTAACTAGGCTTATTGTGGTGATCATTTTATAATGTATACATATGTTGAATCATTATGCTGTATGCCTGAAACATGGGACACATGAATAATGATTATTTTATTGTAATTCTTCAAAACATGGTATAGAAAAAGGACAAGTTAAGGATTATTTAGCTACAAAATTAACTCTGTAATAAGCGTGATGTTGATTATTTTCAGGTTAGGAATAGAAATGCATTCAGGACCATTTGACAAAGACAGTGATCATTAGGCTTAAAGGCTGATAATTGGAGACGTAGTAAGTTGAGGCATGCACATACTTCTAGCTTACATAACAAGTAAAGGAAAATTAGATTTTTTTTCCACAAAAAGAAATACCCTGGAGATTTTAGATCTCTATTATAAAGGGGAGAAAAATGCTATTAGAAATTAATCATTTTGTCTTCTGGTGTACCTCTATTTTTTGTACATATTTTTACTTAAGCACTTGTCAAATGATATTATATTTCTTCTCTTCTAAACTATGACCTCTCTGGATGTAGAGTTCATGTTTTGTTTGCTCCTGTATAACTGCTAGTACATGGTACGTACTCAATTGTTTATTGGTATGTTTAATTAATTAATTTTTATTGAAGTATAATTGATATATAATATTAAATGTAATTATCTGAATTATCTATCATTTTCTTTCTCTCCACCAACCCCAAGCTGAAACTCAAATAATGGAGAAAAAACACACAGCCCCTTCTCAAGGGTGCACACTGGCAACTAAAGTTCCTTTCCAATTCTTCCCCTCCTCCATTCCAGAGAATCTTTTGCTATGGACAGCCTAGTTCTTCATCTTTCCTTAAAATGCTATTATTTAGAAACTGTGTATCCTTTGAGTTTAGGCTTTTGAAATTTATTTTTTCTAAAGATTTTATTTATTTATTAGAGAGAGAATGAGAGATAGAGAGCACGAGGGGGAAGACGGTCAGAGGGAGAAGCAGACTCCCTGCCGAGCAGGGAGTCCGATGCGGGACTCGTCCCGGGACTCCAGGATCATGACCTGAGCTGAAGGCAGTCAGTCGCTTAACCAACTGAGCCACCCAGGCACCCTAGGCTTCTGAAATTTAAAAGTCCTTTTTTTTTTTTAAAGTAGGCTCCGTGCCCAGCACAGGGCCCAAACTCACCACCCTAAGATCAAGACCTGAGCCGAGATCAAGAGTCAGACACTTAACCAACTGAACCACCCAGGTGCCCCAAAACTGGCTTTCCTATT